GCGCCCGAAGGCTCCCTGCGGGGGCAGCCCGCCCCTCTGGCTGCCACTGTCTTCATTGGGAACCTTCCCCGAGATGCCCGTGTGGGTGACCTGAAGAGAGTGCTCCGAGGAGTCGGCATGATGCCCCCGCGACTCACCTGGCAGGGGCCGCAGGGCAGAGCCTTCCTGCACCTTCAGGACCCGGCCACAGCCCAGCAGGCTGTCTGCCAACTGCAGGGCCTGAGCCTGGGCCCCAACACCTTGACGGTGGCCCTGGCCAGAGGGCACACAGACCAGTGACCTGTGACTGGACAGTTGCGCTCCATGGCTACGGTCCCTGGGCACCTCTGACATGCGACCTCTGTCTTCCAGGCCCCTGTGGGACTGGAGGGACCCTGTGGGCAAGATGTGGGAGCCTGAGCTGCCGTATCTCCATCTCTGCTGGGATGTCACGGCCCCAGATAGTGCCCTGAGCTCCCGGTGGGAAGAGGAAGTGAGCAGAGAGGTTTTGTGCCACGGAGGGCCACCCTCGCTTGTCTGAGCTGGCTCTACTACAGCAGCCCGGCTGGTGTCCCTGGATGGGCAGAGCAGCGGTCCAGGAAGTGCTGGGCAACCTCAGGCACTGGGTGAGGGGAGGACGGAGGGGCCTGCCCAGGAGGAGGCCTGGTAGGGGCCAGGTGCAGGGACAGCGAGGGCCACACCAGAAGAGCCCCAGTGCTCAGGGTCCTGGCCTGGCCCCGGGCACAGACTGCTCCCCTCAGCCTGGCCCTCGAGTCATCAGTGGGTGCCTCAGGGGGACCAGCCCCTCCCTTGGAGCGACACTTGGCAGCTTTCGGCTTGGCCAGAGGCCAGCACAAGGCAGGGACTCTGGAAATCAGGTCAGGGCCACCCCACACACAGCGCGGCCATTGCCGGGGCCTCCGCTTCTGCTGCTGCACAGCTGGACTCCGCTGGACAGCGCTCTCCCGACAGCCACAGCTGGGCAAGGAGTCGAAGCAGCAGGCGTGCACGTGTGGAAATTCTCACTTCCAGCCAGAGGGTCTCCGGGGCTGTGTGAGGCACCGTGTGAGCCCAGGAGGCGCGCCCTGTGCGCACTTCACAGAAGAGGTTCTGGGGCCTTTTCCGTCTTCTCTTGGAAAGGGCGCTTTCTCAGTGGCTTTCCGATAAGTGACTGAAGGCTGGAACGAAAACCTCCCCTCGGAGTGGCTTGTTGAACACATTTCTCTTCCAAGGTGCCCTGGGGAAGGTGAGAGGAGCAGAGACGAGGTCGAGCGTCCCGCGGCCTGGCCGGGCCACCGCCCTTGCCCGTGTGGCGCGACCGCACTCCTGTGTCACTTGGGGTCCAGCGCCATGTTGGAGGCGACTGGCCCCTGGCCTGGAGGAGCCGCTGGCCGCTCTTAACTCCTGCCCGGTTTCCCTTTTCCCAGAATGCTCCGTGTTTGAGACTGACCTTTCCTTTTACTTCTCAGTTGTCGATTTCCATAGCTCCAGGACCAGGGGTGTGTGTCTGTCTGTCCTCTCCCCCTGTGCCCAGCTGCTAGGGCCCCCCGACCTAGAGGGAGCAATGCAGTGGAAGCACATTGGGTGAGAGGACCCAATAGAGCCCAGAGCTGACCCCTCCTTGAATGCCTGCATCTTGGGGCTGAGGCCGACCCGGGGCTGAGGCCGACCTGGGGCTGAGGCCGACCTGGGGCTGAGGCCTCCCGGGGCTGAGGCCGACCTGGGGCTGAGGGCTCCCGGGGCTGAGGCCCACCACGGGCTGAGGCC